CAGACTCTGCTTCCTCCTCCTTCCCCTGTAAAGGACTGGGAGAGCAGAGTCTCAGAGCCAAAGCAGTTTCCACCTTCAGCCTTCCTGGTGCACACTCACACCCCCTCCCTCTGCACCCAGGCACCAGGCATCAGAGCTCCAGGAGTTCTTTTCATTGAGATTTGTATGCATGTGCTGGGCTAGGTGGGAACTCAAGAGGGAAAGAGAGAGAGGAACAGAGGGACAGAGGCAGGGAGTGTAGTTGTATGTGCAGGTGCATATGTGCAAGTATAAATGTATATACACGTATACTGAAGCCTGAGGTTAAAGAGTTTGTGAATGGGGAGTGTGCATGTATGTCTGTGTGTGGGCACACACGGGGAGTCCACATGCATGTTTATGCATGCATGTGCATGTGGACATCTGAGGCTGATGACAGGAATCATCCTGGATTATTCTATCACAGTCAATGAGGCGGGATCTACTAAATTATTCTATCACAGTCAATGAGGCAGGATCTACTAGATTATTCTTCTATCACAGTCAATGAGGCAGGATCTACTAGATTATTCTTCTATCACAGTCAATGAGGCGGGATCTACTAGATTATTCTTCTATCACAGTCAATGAGGCGGGATCTACTAGATTATTCTTCTATCACAGTCAATGAGGCAGGATCTACCAGCCTGCTTGCTCTGGAGATCCTGCCCCAGCCTCTTGAGGCTGAAATTACAGGCAGGGCAACACTCAGCCATCATTTATATGATTTCAGGATCCAAACTATGTTTCCACGCTTGTGCAACAAGTGCTTTAAACACTGAGGCCTATCCCAAGCTCCTCCCCCTTGTCTTTCAAACATGGTTTCTCACTGAACAAAAGCTCTCAGGGTGAACTGTCTGGCCAGCAAGTCTCTGGTGTCCTCCTATCCTCATACCCACCTTCAGCAATAAGATCACAGGCAAACCCAGCTTTCTACATAGGTATTGGGGATCTGAACTCAGGTGCTGCTGCTTGCACAGCCTCAGAGCTGACACCCATCATGAGACCTCAGGTTGAAAAGCCCCAGATATACCAGAGAGGCAGCTCCTCTGCCAGTGGGGGCTCCAACAGTCCCCACCACTTCACCAGGACTTTAAGAGCTAAGAGTCTGAGAAGAGTTATGCCTTGTTATTAAGAAGTCAAGTTGTATGTGAATTCCATTTTCTTGTTTTCTGTTTGTTCATGCTCAGGCATCTGGAATCTGAGGAAGAGAGGAAGCAAAGCCTCCCTGTGTAGTCCAAACATTCCTTGAACTCCACATCTGCACACCTTAACCTCCCCAGAGCTAGGATTACAGGTATGGACCGTCAAGCCTATTACCTCTAATTCTCCTACCTCCCCTGCCCAAGTGCCCGGATTGTGGTCTTACAAAACCAGGGAACTGCCAAGTTCAAACCAGGATTGCCCAGCTTCCACGTCACAAGAGAGGCAGCCATGACAGAGAAGAGACTACCTCGGCTCTCCTCTTCTTCCATTAAGCCCACTGTTGACACGGGTGGGCTCAACACCCAGCAGGGGCAGAGTAGTAGAGGGCATGTCTAGAACACAGCCCCATGTTCTCTTGGCTGAAGGCTCCCTCTTAGTAAAAGGGGATCCTGAAGAGACCCCAGGCTGCCCAGGCCAAGGGAAACAGAGGCCAGAGGCAAGTAGAGGAGGTAAAGAAACTTTAATCACCACCCATCAACGTGAGCAGCAGGAGTGTCTAAGCCAGGGTGGCCCCACTTCTTGGGAGCATCCTGGGGCCGGCCCTCAGTCCTGGCTATGGCAATTCTCCATCCAAGCGCCCCACATACAAGTGGAATATCTGAGGACCCCAAGTCTCTAGAACCATGTGTGTAGGAGCTTAAAACCAAAGTTCTCTGTGGCCAAGAGCCCGGGTCTCGAGAAGCCAGCAGCTGTCTGCGTGTCCCACTGTGGCTTTCCCCAGTCTGACTGTACTCAGGGCCAGGTGGTGACCACGTGTCCTCAGATCAGTGAGGTTTTCCTTTCTGACAGCAGCAGAGACTCCTTCACAGCCACCAACAGCCCTGGCGGGGACAGGCAACCCTGACCTCGGAGTCGTAACAATATGAGGAGGGTGGCAGAAACCAGGACGGCACTCAATACCCCTGTGGGGGACAGACAGATGGTCAGAGGTGGGGCAAGGAGGGTAGAAGCTATCAATGCTAATCCGTGGGCAGTCTACTGTGTGCCCCCTCCAATCATCCCATGCTCCTCACGTGGGAAGGCCTATCTTACCAGCAGCTGCAATAACCCCATAGGCATTTGGGTTTCGGGAAGGGTCCCCAGCAGAGGCAACTGTTGCATTCCTGAGAGAGGTCTCATTCTCCAGGGTCATAGGAGTCCTTGTAGCTGTGGTGTTATCCTCGAGGGAGATCTTGTCAGTTTCTGTGTTGGTGTCTGCAATACGCCCAGGCATCGGTAGTTGAGAGGCTTAGCGGTGGGGGGTACATTAGGGTTCCAGGTGCCAACTCTTAGAACTCATCCTGATGGAAGACTGAGCAGAGCTGGCAGGGAAGCACTACTCCTCATGTCTTGTCCTCCGAGGATGCATGTGTTCACATCCTCAGTCTAGTCACACATGCGAAGGTACTAAATGTCCTTGAGTCGCTGCCAGCCCTCCCCACCCACACAGACACACCGAGACCCAGGGCACATACCACAGCTGAGCTCATCACTGGAGTCAGGACAGTCTGGGTGGCCATCACAGCGCCATGTGTGTGGGATACAGACATCACCCAGAATGCAACGCAGCTTGCCCTCCTGACAGGACTGGAGGGTGCAGTTGAGAAGATTCTTGTCAGAGTCAGCAGCGCAACCACTGATGTCATCACAGGAGCAAGGACGGGTAGCCAGTGGTTGGCACTGCCCTTTCTGAGCACATGGCTCAATCCCTGAAACATACAGTCAATCAGGTTCCAAACATCCATGCAAGAAAGCCCAGTATAACAGGCATGGTGGCACAAACCTTTAATCCCAGAACACAGGAGGCAGAGGAAGGTGAGTCTCTGTCTGAGTCTAAGGCCAGTCTAATCTACCTAGTGAATTCTAGGACTATCAGGACCTTGTAGAGAAACCCTGCCACACACACAACAACAACAACAACAAAAAGGAAGCATGGTACTTCAGTTGCCCAATTCATTCTAAATCTCAGCTTCTAAAAGTGGCTGACTGAGCAGGGAGTGGTATCTCACCACTGTATCAGGAGACAGAGCAGATGGATCTCTTAAGAGTTTGAAGCCAGCCTGGTCTACATAAAGAATTTCAGGCCGTCCAGGCAGTGGTGGCGCACGCCTTTAATCCCAGCACTCGGAAGGCAGAGGCAGGTGGATCTCTATGAGTTTGAGACCAGCCTGGTCTACAGAGCTAGTTCCAGGACAGGCTCCAAAGCCACAGAGAAACCCTGTCTAAAAAAAAAAAAAAAAAAAAAAAAAACCCAAAAACCCCCCCCCACAAAAAAAAAAAAAAAAAAAACCAAAGAAAAAAAAAAAAAAAAAAAAAAAAAAAACAACTAACCCCCCCCCCCAAAGAAAAAGAATTTCAGGCCAGCCAGGGAGATATAAAATAAAACAATATTTCCTCAGGGCTGAGTATATAACTCAGGGGGTAAGTGCTCACTGCACAAGCATGTGGGCTGAGTTTGACCCCAGCCCTCATCAGGGTCCATCCCTAATCATAATGCAAAGAGGGCAGAGACAGGTGGATCCTGGGTACTGGAGCCAGTCAGTCCAGCTGAAACCAGAAGTCCCAATTTTAGTAAAAGATGGTCTCAAAGAGTAAGGTGGAGAGCAACAGAGGAAGACACCCAATGTCAATCTCTGCTCCACACACACACACACACACACACACACACACACACACACACCACTGGCAAACACACCTGCAGACACATGTGCCAGACACACACTAAGTAAAAAACAGCTGATCCCGTGTACAGAGGACCATGTGCCCTATGTAAAGTCTCTGCCTGCTGCCCGTATCAACCTCACCTTCCAATACCTCGTCTTCCTAGTTTCCTCCCTTCTTTGCTCAGTCTCCTTCCACGCTTGCCTTAAATCCCAGCTCTTCTGTTGTTGTTATTGTTGTTTTTATTTTTAATTTCAGACAAGGTCTCACTAAGTAGCTCTGGTTGTCCTGGAACTCTCTGTGCAACAGCTGGCCTCAGACTTACAGACACCTACCTGCCTCTGCCTCCAGTCTAGACCTGTAGACTCCACTTTGCCCTGCTTGGCCAGTCCCACTCACCCAGTCCTATAACCATAGCCATTTCATAATCCCCACCCCCATAACTGGCACCAGTCCAATCTTTCCTTCTGAAACCCCTTTCCAGGGAAGACCACTTACTACACTCCTCCTCATCACTGCCATCAGAGCAGTCTGGGTCCCCATCGCAGCGCCAGGAGAGGGGCACACAGTAGCCACTTGTAATACACTGGAAGCTGTCTGTCGGGCACGAGTCAGCTCTGGAGCCTGAGAGATGAAGATAAATGGGATTCCAAAACTAGAACACCCTCCGAGATAATGGATAGAGCTGCAATCAGCTGGAGACAAGTCAGGACTCAAACCCTGGTCTCACTGACCCTTGAGACTTTGCTAGGTTCCAAATGGCCACTCTACACAGGAGATCTCCAAACTCATGTTTAAACACATGAGAGAGGAGCCGTTCCCCAACATGCTCTGCAAGAGGCTCAGGATTCAGATCAGTGGGACCTATTCTAACCCATCTGCTTAGCAAAGGGGAGACTGAGACCCTGGGTAGAACACCTGCTCAAAAGCCGGGTGTGGAAGTGTATGCCTGTAATCTCAGCACTCAGGAGTTTGGAAACAGAAGGATCCTGAGTTCGAGGACAGCAGGGTCACACAGGAAGATCCTGCCTCAAAACAAGACAACATGCCTAGTCACCAAGTCCTGTTGCCTCATCTCCTGAGTTCTTCCCAGGTCAAAACACTGCGTGACCCAAACATGCCACTGCTAAACTGGACCCCTAGTACCTAATCTCCATTAGGATAGAACACTGGAGTACTCTCAGGTGCCCACTCTTATCACCCAGCACCCCTGGCACCCTGGCCCTCTCACAACCATAGCTAAATCCCTTCCCTTTCCATCCTGGCCTCCTCCTCAGTTCAGCTAAGAGACTTAGCTAATTCATCTCAGGGCCTTTGCATGTGTCTCCCTCCGCATAATGGCTCGTTCTTCCACTCTGTATTAAGAGAGGGGATATCTAGACCCTTTTCATGTCAGGCAAACATTCTACCACTGAGCTACTCCCGACCCCATCCTTCCACTCTACACCTGTGATTCTTCTGAACCTTCAGATGTCTGCTTACATCTTGTGTAGGGTCTCATGCATCTCAGGAAGCTCTGCCTCTCACAAATAACAAAAGCCCCTAACTACTAACATCCATCCTCCTGTTGACTAGGTCAGAGACATGGCCTCATGATCCTACCCAGGTCAGCGCTTGACAGTGTGTGGACAATAGGTCATGTGAGGGTCCACAAAGAGTCCAGATGAACTATAAGCCTTTCCTGGACTCTGAACGGGAGGTTAGGGCTGTTTGCTGATCTAGAGGGGCTGACAGTGAAGGGAGGAAGGAAGGAGGGGCCTTTCAGAGCTTCCCACCTCACATACAGGGCCAGGGCTTCCAAGACCCCTCCTATCCTTTCCCTGCAGTCAAATACAATTACACTCGCTCAAGAACTGAGACAAGCACTGGTGGCCACCTTCCTTTCCTGCCGCAGGCACAGCATTCTCTCCATACCTAACAGCTCAGTCCTGACAGGTCAGACCCCCTCTCCTTGGCTTTCTGGGTTTCCTCGGAATGATCCATCATTTTCCCTCCAGTCTGTTTCCTCCACTGTGAAAGGAGAACACTAAGGCCAGGCACAATGGTGCTCACCTGGAACCCTGCTCTTGAGAAGCTGGGACAAGAGGACGGCTTGAGATACAGACCAACCAAAACTGGGAGGAGGGGTGCTCCTTTTTAGACCCATATAGCTCTGCCTGATGAAGTGGCCCACACCTATAATCTTTGTGCTGGGGAGACTAAGGCAGAAGGCCCAGGCTGCAGTCCAGCTTCTGTTACACAGTGACACCCTGTCTCAAAAGTGACAGCCAATGCCTGCTTTTAATCCCAGCACTCTGGAGGCAGAGTCAAGTGGATCTCTGGAATTAAAGTCCAGCCTGGTCTACATGGCAAGTTCCAAGTCAGCCAGAGCTACAAGGTGTGATTTTGTCTCAAAAAACCCAAAACAACATAATAAAAACCTAAAGAAAACTACACTCGAAACAGTAAGACCTGTTTTTCTAGGTCCTATAGCCCGAACATCCTGTTCCAGCCCAGGCCAGCTGCCTGATCACGTTTGGGGATCACAAATGAAATACACTCCAGGACCCTGTCTTCCATTCTGAGGCAGAAATCCAAGGAGAAACAGAAGCTCTGGGTGCTCAAAGAACAGCCACAGAACTTGAGGCTCAGGGTCGAGCTTTTCACGAAGGCATGCTGCTGCAGGAAGGCGCCAGGTGACTAGCCCTGCGTGGTAAGAGGTCAAACAAAATCAGAAACCTAAGTCTTTCAGCCCAAGCTGGGTTGAAGGACGACTTGGAGGTGACATGTGGACAGAAAGGGGAGAAGGGGTACGCTGGGCACGAAATATCAGAAGACAGGAGACACCCACGTGCAGGTCTCCTGAGCAGGACTGGTTCTCCCCACGCTAAATCCAATCCCGCGTGCAGGAGGAGTGTGAGACGGATGAGCGGCACAGCCAATCGTGAGGCGATGCCAGCGCGCGGGGGCGGGGCGAAAGCGGTGTAGGGACTGGGGTCACTCACCCGAGACACGGACTTGGGTCGGGGCCGGGGCCGGGGCCGGGGCCGGGGCGGCCTCTAGGCCTAGTCCAAGACCCAGCAGTAGCAGCGCCAGGCACAGGGCCGCTGCCCGCCCCACTCCGCCCCGCGCCATCCAACCGCTAGCCGCACTGCTCCAGCAACCGGCCGCACGCAGTCTGAGGGACGAGCGCTGACTCTTGCGCACGCGCACATAAAGGCAGGGGGCGTGGCACCTGCGAGCCGGGACCGTAAGTACCTTAATAAAAAGTAACCAAGAAATACGGCTCTTCCGGGCTTTTTCCCAGCAGCAGAGTCTGATGGGTTTAGACACCTGGATCTGTACTCCCAGCTACTCTACAGGCTAAGGAAGAGGATCACAAAATAATGCCAACCTAGGCAATTAAAGGACCCCCTATCTTGGAATAAAAATCACCCAAAGCAGGTCAGAAACTGGGGAATAGTCGAACGGTAGAGCACTTGCCTAAGTAATCGGTAGGCTCTGGGTTTAATCCTGAGGACTAAGAAAATAACATCAACTTGAAACAATCAATTTCCAGAGTCAAAAATGAACTCACCAATTTTGACCTAAACTTCACACGCAAACTACTGCAAATTTAACTGCCCAATGGTCCTAATGAACATGGCAGCCACACCCTGTGGACACTCCCCAGGAGGGCCCTACTCCAGCTGCTTTGGTGCCACCTCTGGGTTTTATTTACTTTATTTCCTTTATTGTCTAATTACCCACTAGAACGCCAGCTGCAGGTAGTCTGGCACAGGCAGGGAAGGAATGAACAAATGAACGTAGTCCCTGGCTCCCACCCTGAGCTGTCCCATCCACTTGATGTCTGGCACACGCAGGGAAGGAATGAACAAATGAACATAGTCCCTGGCTCCCACCCTGAGCTGTCCCATCCACTTGGATTCCTTCCATCCCAACCTCATTCATTACCTCCAGTTTTCACTTAAGAAAGAGACACTTTAATCTGCCATCCTTGTACTTGGGCAGTAGGGGATGGATAGATGGTTTTCTCAACCCACTTGCATCCGGCGGGTGCATTGTTTGTTATCCAGTATGGCTTCTGTGGTGGTAGTGTTCTGTTGTCTGAGAGAGGTTCTCAATGCATAATGCAGGCTGGCCTGAAACTGGTGATCCTCCTGCCTTGGCCTCCTAAGAATCTGGAATAGTCATGGATCTCATGTGTATTGTACAGCCACACGCAGCTTAGTTTTTTCTTCTTCACATTATGTCTCCCACAGTTCTACCTCCCAGCGGGGCTGGGGACAAGTCTCTGTCCCTGAGTGGGCAATAGCCTCAGTGTCCTATAGCCTCAGAGCAGAGACTAAGGCAGAACATCAGTAACTTCAAAGACACCCTAGGCTACTTGGTAAGTTCCAAGTGGGGACTAAAGATGGAGCTCAGTGACAGAGTATATGGCAAGCATGTACCAACCTCCTGCCTCCCTTCCCAGCATCCTATAAACCAGGTATGAGGGCACATACTAGTAATCCTAGCACTGAAGGGACAGAGGCAGGAGGCTCTAAAGTCCCAAGGCTATCCTCAAATACAGAGAACTTGAGGCCAGCTTGGGCTACATGAGACCCTGTCTCAAAAAAAAAAAGTAAATGAGTTCCAGGGCAGCCAGGGCTATGCAGGAAACCTGTCTTGAAAAATAAATAGAGAGAGG